GTTTGAGGCTGCATTTGAACTGGGTCATCCTGACTGCAGGCCTGGCACCCTTATTTACTGCACACTTAGCTGCCCATCCTTGAGGGCACATGTATAATCTATATTAAATTTCTTGCCTCCTCAAGGAGGGCTTGAGGAGGGAGAGGGGGAGAGAATTTTGAACTCAAAATTTTAGAAAATGAATGTTAAAAATTTTGGTTTACATGCAGTGGAGGGGAAAAAAGATTAAGCATAAAAAAAGAAGAAATTTTCCTCTAGCCAGAGTTGTGAAAAATTCTTCTATCTCTTTTCCTCCATTAAATAAAATGATATGGTCTTTTATGTTGAAGTGTAATATCTATTTGGAACTTGTATATGTGCTATAAGATGCTGCCCTAAACCACTTTTTGACAAACTGCCTTTCATTTTTCCCAGCAGGGGAAGGAAAAGAAAGGGAAGGAAAGGGAATAAGCATTTTATATAGCACCTACTATATGCCAGGCATTTGTTAAGTGCTTTGCAAATATTATCTCATTTAATCTTTATAACAACCCTGTGAGGTAGGTGCTGTTATTATCCTCCCTTTACAAATGAGGAAACTGAGGTAAACAGAAGTTAAATAACTTGCCTAGGGTCACACAGCTAGAAAGTATCTGAAGCTGGATTAGAACTCAGGTCTTTCTGACTCTAGGCCTAGTGCCCTATTCACTGTGCTGTATGTAGAGCAAACATGTAGTCTGTCCAATTGATTGAACACAAGGTTATTAAGATCAATTCGTGAAGGTAAAATATTGGACCTGTAAGTAATGGTTTAGAATAGATTGCTTGACAATGAAATGAGAAAAAAAAATTAGATAGTAGGCATGAAATTCTTTTGTTGGTATTATGAGGTAGAAAAAAAGACCAATTTTGGTCTCATGTTTTGCAAAGAGATCCTTTCAGTTTGTTATAATATTCTTTTTGAAATTTAGTAACACAACATTTTCCAGAGTCACTGAGGAAAAAAAACTTGAAGAGCTGAGTGATTAAGGTGAACCATGATGCTTCTTTGCTAACTAATTTTTCTCCCCTTATTGGAAGGTTCTGAGACCTTTTCCCTATTTCCCTGTGGTTATATTTTCAAAGAAATGTCAGTGTTCATTATACTTAGTGGAAGAAAGACACTTCATTCTGGATTTCAGGTAAATTAATCAAAGACACATTTATTAATTTTTACAAGTAATTGTAGGGATAGAGATTACAGACAATAAATTTTCCTACTAATCAGAGACCTTTGTGACTCAAGAAATTTCCAACTTACATTGTAAAATAATAATGAAACAAAAGATGAAGAAATTTTATAGTTAGGAAATAACAAAGGTATGTCTACAATTTTCATAGGCTGATTGTGGACACCAATCTTGTGGGAGATTCTGACTGCTCAAAGAATTCATTTTGTTGTTGTTCAGTCATTTAAGTGGCATCTAACTCTTTGTGACCCCATTTGGGGTCTTCTTGGCAAAGATACTGGAGTGGCTTGCCATTTCCTTCTCCAGTTCATTTTACAAATGAGGAAACTGAGGCAAACAAGGTTGAGTCACTTGCTCAGGGTCACTCAGCTCGCAAGTATCTGAGGCCAGAATTGAACTCAGGTCCTCCTGATTCCAGGCTGGACACTCTTTCCACTGTGCCACCTGCCTGCTTTCATAAGATTAAGGATACTCCCAAATCCTAATCTGGTCAGTGATTCCCGTGGAAACTAAGGCCACCCTAACCACCCTAATCCTTAGTTTTAATAGATTCCTTAGGACTGTTGGCTTTTTTTCCCACTTTTAGGGTGAAAACCTTGAGCTTATCTTTACTGTGTCTGGCCCACTAGCTATCTATGTATTGAGAACAATATTAACAAATGCTTTGGAGAACAACTACCACAAAACAAGATGAATATTGTGAAACTCAAAAGAACAGTCTTGATCCCAAAGAAGAGATATGAGAAGATGCCTCCCTCTACATTTTGCAGGGGTGAGGATTCTTGGGTGTGAGACATTGAATGTAACATTAGATTTTTTGATGTGTTGATTGGTTTTGCTGATTTTCTTTTCTTCGTTTTTTAAAAAATCCTCATAAAGTTGACTTTTAGAAAGAAGAGACATAGGAGAAAATATAGGCAATGTAAAAACAAAAAAAAATCCATAAAAATCTATTTTTAAAAAAAGAAGAAATACGTTTTGGAAACCTTTGAAGCAAAGTACAACCAATTCAGTAATTTACTTTCAGAAGACATATATCAAAAGTCCCTACCCTTGCCAGCTACTGTGGTGTGTGTGTATGTGTGTACGTATGTCTATGTGTATGTGTTCAGACAAAACTGAAAAACTGAAACAATTCCTGCCCTCAAAGAGCTTACAGAGGAGCTTTTCACCTACTGGAGGAAAACATCATGAACACAGATAATGAAATATATAATATATACAAAATCATTTTTATGGACAGAATGAAAATACTAACAACGTAGGTGAAGGGGCTTCAGAATAGGTTTCATATCAGAAGTAGCAGTTAAGCTAAGTCTTGAAGGGAGCTTGGGACTCCTGGAGAGGGAGGGGAAGAGCATTCCAGCTCTTCCATAGGGACAGCCTACACAGATATATTAAGATTGGAGATGGAATGTCTTCTATGGGGAATAGCACATAGACTAGATTGCCTGGAAAATAGAGGTGTGTGGAGGAGGGGAGTATAATTTGAAATTAATTTGGAAAGACTGGAAACACTTGTAAAGGGTTTCTAATGCCAAGGAGGAGTGTGTCTTAGAGACAACAGGGAGCCACAATAGAACCTTGAGTAAAAGAGTGTAATATAATCAGATCTGTACTTTAGGACCATTAATTGGCCAGCTGTGTGGAGGATAAATTGAAGAGACTCGAAGCAGGAAGAACAATCGGGAGGCTACTGTTATAGTCCAGGTAAGAAGGCCTGAATTGGGTTGGGTATATGGGTAGGAAGAACAGGATGGATACAAGAGACAGTTGAGGAATAGATCACATTCATCTCCTAAATGTATGTGGTTACAAGGGGATTACATTCTACTTGAGGGAGAGGCAAGAGTGAAGAATGAAGAGTTAAGGTCAGAGGATCATAGATTTAGAGTTAAAGGTCCTTATGGGCCATTAGATCTAGCTTTGTCTTTTTATAGATGAAGAAGGACAAGTTAAATGACTTGCCCAAGGTTTCTTTTAAGTGTCTAAGGTGAGATTTGAACCCCTCTCCTCCTAACTGGACTTGAGTCCAGTGGCCTATTGGCTATATCACACTGCCTTTTATAAGAGGAGAAGGAAGGTGGAAGAAGGAAAAAGGTAGGTTATCTTCAGGGATGTGAACCTGGGCAACTTGAAGGCTGATATCCACAGAAATTGGGAGGCAAAAGCATATAATGCATTTAGGGGAAAAGACAGTGAGTTCTGTTTTGGCAGTATTAAATTTGAGATGCTTGTAGGATATCCAGGTGGAGATGTCTAGGTGGCAGTTGGTGACATGGGACTTGCGGTCAGAAGAGAGATGAGGGCTAGATATATAGATATGATAATTTTTGTTGCTATATAATAATTGAACCTATGGAAATGGATGGGGATTAAAATACAAAAAAAGTCAGTCTCCGCCTATAAGGAAATAACAATCTAATCAGAAATGACAGCCAGAAAGAGAAGGGTTTCCAGGACAGATCTTTTGAAAATAGCTACAACTATTTTCCAGTGTCTGGTTTGTAGAATAATATTAGAAGGAATGGGTTAAGGACAGTAAAAACAACTAAAGTTGTCTACTCAAATAGGCAGCAATTTTTTCTTACCTTGGCTGAGAATATACTTTCTAGGTAATCTTAGTTTAATACAGAATAGGATTTGTTTCCAGTGAGAGGCACTGAATTTGGAGTGAATCTATGATCTATGATCTCATTCTTGGGTGTGACATCCTCAAAGACCCTTTGCAATGTATCTTTCAGAGACTTCCTGGTTCTCTTTCTCCTGATCTGACCAACCATCAAATAGACAATTGGGTTGACAGTGCTATTGATAAAGCATAATATATTCAAATATGGATGTAACAATCTCAGAGACTCATAGTTTTCATCTTCAAAATAACACATCATAACCAAGACTCTTGAAGGCATAGCAGAGAGAAGGAACAGAATGACCTTGGTTATGATGATGATGTAAAGCTTGGCTGGTTGGCAGTGCTTCAGGTTACAGAAGACCTTGATGAAGAGGATCAAGTTCGAGAAGACCATGAGAGGGGCAAACACAAGAAGGTTCAAGATAAGCAAAAATATTTCCACACCCATGCATGGTCTAAAAGAGAATCTGGGCTCTGCTGCCCACACACAAAAAAACCATTCTAACCAGCTCACAAAAACAGAATACCCACAGCAAGGTACAGATGATGGCAGTTTGGTGCTTCAGGCGTTGGCATTTGTACCAAATGGAGTAAAGGACTGAAAGACACCTTTCTGCACTGATGGCTGTCAGGAGGAAGAGGCCAGTGTTGTAGCCAAATAGAATGAGCACATAAAAAATACTCAGAAATAACTGTAGCCCAAATGATTGCATATCAAAATTGTAGGAAATTATTATGCCCGTATTAACAGTAGATGTACAAAGAAGGAAAACCAAGTCAGCAATTGAGAGGTGTAGGATATAAACAATAAAAGGGTTCTTCTTGAAGTGGAAGAAGAGAAACCAGATGACAAGTCCATTGCCAGCTGTTCCCAACAGAGTGATGAGCAGAGAGACATAAATTGAGATAATTTCAGCTGATTGTAAATTTAAAAAAGACTCATTCATATGGCTTGGGGCATCTGATGTGGATTCCATAGAAGGTCTGCTGGTTGAGGACAGCACCATTATCTAGAAATCATCAATTCTGCTCATCACACCTGTCAGCGTAGATACAAAATAGTGTCTATATAGATGGTATTTAATGCTATTTAATTATTAAATAATATGTTAATTGGATTTAGTGCTAGAAGGAACCTTAAAGACCAGTCCGTCAATCATCAGTCATTTTAAAGTGCCTAGCTAGGAGTTTAATCACTTATAAGACAGTGTTGTGTAGTGGGTGGGTTTAGTGGTAGATTCAAGGCTTTTTGAAAATAAGTAAAACCATTTCCCAGTATCTGTTACAGAGGACAGGATTAGAAGGTGGTGAGTGGAATGGACTAGGAGTAGTTTGGACAGCCCCATCAAGACGTATGTTTACAATACTTCTGTAAACCTGTTCTTTCCCTCAAAGATGCAAAAGGAATTTTAAAAATTGTCTGCAGAGATGGGCAGCAATCTTTTCTTCTCCTGGCTGAGAATCTATTTTATAGGTTACTGGTGTTTAATACAGGAGACAGTTTGCTTGTTTGTTTATCAGTGCCCCTGAGGAGGGCACTGATTTTGGAGTGCCCAGGTTTTTCTCTCCCACATGGACATGGGTTATCCTCAAAGATCTTTTGCATTGTGTCTTTCAAGGACTTCCTGGCTCTCTGCCCCCTGAACCAAACACCCAGCAAATATACAATCAGGTTAATGATACTGTTAATACAAGATAAAAATTCAAGTATATAAATAATATTGATAAAAACATAGTTTTCATTCTGGAAGTCAAATAACATCAGTAAAACTCTCAAAGTCTTGACAGAAATAAGAACAGGAACATAGGCTACATTCCACTAACAGATTGTAAGTTCTTTGAGGGCAAGGTCTGCCTGATTTCATCCTTACATCTTTCTTAGGGTGTTTTAAGAAACTTGCACTTAATTTAATAAATGAATTGAATTTATAGTTCCATTCTGTAGTAGAGAAGAGAGATGCTAGAAAGAAGCCTTGGCTGGTCGGGATGGAAAGGAAAGGAGACTGAATGATTCCTGGAATTTTGTAGAAAAAAAGATGGCCATGTTAGAAAAGTGAAGTGCATTCAACATGTTTATATTTTTGTATTTACTTGAGATACAACTCCCCCTTCTCAAGTGGATATTTTAAAAATGGGAAGACTTTGTGAGAAATAAAAATATTCTCTTTTTTTGGGAATAAAAATATTCTTAAGAAAGTTGCTCATGACTTGCTCCAAATAAAACAGACAGAGAGTATATGTTGAGTAAGAGGAGACTCATAGAGCAACAATTTAGTTAGGGAGCTGAAAAATGAGAAGTGAAATGAATATACGAACATGTCAATTATCTGCAGTTCCAACCATGGAGTCCCAAAGGATCTGGGACAACTCTGACTTGGGGCAAGTCCCTTTACCTCCCTGAGTCTCCATTTCCAAATTTATAAAATTAGGGGGTTGAAGTAAACAATATCTAAGGTCCCTTCCAGGTCCACTTTCCATGATTCCATAAATATTGTCAGATAACATCTTAGGGGATATCATATAGTGGATTTTGAAAGAAAATTGACAATAGGAGAGAACATAAAAGCACAATTAAACTCTAGTGCCTTGAAGGCAGAAAAGGATTTCAGTAGGCAGAGATGTGGAGCACAAAAGCACAGAGAGCTTTTAATTGTGGTCCCCCCCCCCTTTCTGGGTACCTTAACACACCGCCACCTATAACTATAAGCACCCAGTGTCAATGGGCAATTAACCAGTCAACAAGCATTCATTAAGTACTTACTACATGCTAAGCATTATTAATATAGTAGGGATCTAATGGTAACGTATTTTCTTGTACCCTTACAAGTTTTGCCATTGAAATCAGCGTGTTAGTATTTGTCTGCTATGATTTACTTGGAATGCAAATCCCAAATGGTTATTTTTGAAATACTAGAGTTTTATGGGAAATAATATTTCCTTAAGAATTGTGAACTCCTTGAGGGCAGGAACTGTCTTTGTCTTTCATTGTATCCCTAGAATTTAGCACAGTGCCTGGCTGGTAATAGGCATTTAATAAATGCTTATTGACTGACTGAAAAGGTTGCTTATGTCCCCAAATGTAAACAGACCAATAGTGTGTGCTAAGTAAGAGGAGGCTACAAGGGCAACAATATCAGTCAGTAAGGAAAGTGAAAAATAAGAAATTAAATTAAATTAATATGCCAACCCATCAAGGACCTATGAAATCATAAGTGGAGCCCTAAAGTATACCCTAATCCTTTTCTAATTTAGTAGCTAAGCTTTAGAGACATGGCTGAGCCTCAGAGCCTTGAAGAAATGAAATTATAGGTGGGAAAAGGGAGACAATTGACAGGATACCTACATCCTAGGAAGAGGAAGTTGACATACATAAATGAGCCCAAGATGTCAATGGTTGCATCATTGACAGTGCAGTAAAGAGGCTCCTTTATGGTAAGAGTAAGGTCAGAGTATTCCCATGGGAGAGAAGCTAGAGCATCAGCAGGAGAACCAGGAGACCAGGCTCTTGTCCTAACTGTCTCTCCTTGACACTGGTTGGGTCAGACATTTCACACACATGCCTCTTTCCCTTAGCCTCAGTTCACTCCTCCGAGTAAATTTAGAGGGAGATCTCAGGTCCCTTTTTGCTCAGAAATAGTGATGAACTTAATATGAACTTACTGTCAGGAATTCTGTCCAGCCCTGAGTTATCCTCCAACCACTTGCTTTTCTCTCCGAAGACAGCTTCTTGGGAGGGGGGGGATGCCAGTGTAACTGAGTAATTGCCAATTTAAACAGGTGGTTTTTACTGGCAGCTGGACAAAGTGCTCATTCACTCTTCAGACAGTGTCACCCCAAAGTGCACTGGATGATGCCAACAGGATCTTTTTGTTCTATGTGGAAGCGGGAACTTAAAACGGAATGGCTACGAAAGGTTTTTGAAGCCTTTCTGGCCTGATATCAAATCTGGCAATAATCCTGGTGTCTATGTTCAGTGAGATTTGAAATCTCTTTTGTAGCTGAAATTCTAGTGGTCTGTGTTGTTCTGGACATCGGAGAGCCTTGGCTTGGACACAGCTGCTCATAGGGGAGAAGCTGGCATCATTTTGCTTCCCCCCCTTCCTCCCCAATAGTCCCCCATCCCCACCCCATGGGGCACATCTATTGCTTTGGGAAAAAAGTCAGTATAAGTAGGCAAGCCACAGAATGACTGCCTAGAAAAATGACTCTGAAATGCTTGGTTGGTTAAATTTAAGTGAAATAAACAAACAAAAAGCCAGTTCTTTAGCAGTATGACCTAAGACATTTTATGGTTGTTGTCCTTCGTTTTTGAAGAGGACCAAAATGAACATAGACAGCTAGCTAGATAGACAGGCATATAGATAGGTAGGCAGACAGATTGATAGGTTGATAGAGCAGCTGGGTGGCGCAGTGGATAGAGCACAGGCCTAGAGTCAAGAAGATCTGAGTTCAAATCTGGCTTCAAACACTTACTATCTGTGTGATCTTGAGCAAGTCACTTAACCCTGTTTGCTTCAGTTTCCTCATCTGTAAAATGAGCTGGAGAAGGAAATGACAAACTACTCCAGGTATCTTTGCCAAGAAAACCTGAAATGGGGTCACGAAAAGTTAGACATGACTGAAATGATTTAACAACCACAACAAAAAAAATCGATAGATAGATAGACAATTTATTAAGATATTACTATATGCCAGATAGTGCCAAGTGCTGGGAATACAAATACAGACAAATAAGATGGTCCCTGACCTCAAGGAGCTTACATAATAATGGAGGAAGCCAGCACATAAAGGAGGTTTGTAGAGGTAAGTAGAGGTAAGTGATGTGGAGGTGTCCAGGAAGTAGTTCTGGGCAATAAAAGGCAAAAATTTCTCAGCCCTTGAGGTAGTGCTCTTAACATCTTGTGTCTTTGAAAACTATATTTCTTTTCACTTGTATTTTATAATAGTTTAACAAGTTCTTTTTCTGTCTCCTTCAGACACCAAACTCTTGATGTGAAAGAAGCATGACCTTACATTCTTTACAAAGTGATTTAATCCTTTTTATTTATGCAAAAGTTCATTATCTGCTCTTTTTGGCAACCAAACTGCTCACATATTAAAGACAGCAGTACCTTATATCTGCACGCACATGTATGTGTGTGTATATGTTTATAGACACATATGCGTAGCATGTAGGTATACACTAGTACATACACACATGGAGACACATGTATATACATGCATGCATGCATGTGTATCTATATATATATGCATGTGGGTGTATATACACACATACATATATGTGTGTGTATTGTAAATATAGAACATTTAGAACAACTGCTGAGTCCAGAGGGCTGGGACATTATTTATTCTCTCTCCACTTTAAGGCAGCCCTCTCTCCCTGGACCTAGGTATGTAGTCCAGAATAGGTTCAGATCTAGGGAAACCTGACCCCCTAGAAGAAGGGGTCAGACTCCTTTGCTAATAACTTTTGACTCTTTTAAAAATATTTGTAAAATTCTGACCTTAAACACCAAAGGAAAAGAACATTTCCATGTATACAGCAGAACACAAAAAGATCATTTACGAAACTGTTTTCATTTCACTCTGCCTGCTTTAAAAAAAGTATATAATAAATTCTATGTGTTAATTTCAAAACTGTTCTGCTTTTCTGTGTTTCCTTCTGAACTTTCTTCTGTTCTCTTCTGTGCATTACAAATGTTATACAGGCTTTCTTTCTGTTGGCCTCACTATTGCCATTCCCTCCTCTGACTTATACCATGACCCTCCCCAAGTAACCAAGAACAAGAAGAAAAAACAAGAAATCTTTGTGACAAATATGGGCGGTCAAGCAAAACAAATCCATATAGAGTCCATGCCTAAACATGTTTGACTGTACTTTTGTGTTCCTCAGCCTCTCTCAGGAGGTGGGTAACATGCTTCATCATAGGTCCTCTGTGTCAGTGCTTTGATCAGATTTCTTAAGTTTTCCAAAATTGTTTTTCTTTGTATAATTTGTTCTCTTGGTTCTGCTCACTCCATTATACGTAGTAGTAGTACTCATAGCTAGTATTTATACTGTGCTTTTGTTTGTAAAGCACTTTACAAACGTGATCTTATTTTATCCTCCCAACATTTGTTAAATGCCTACTATGTGCAATACCTGGAAAAGGAAATGGCAAACCATTCCAGTGTTTTGCCAAGAAAACCCCAAATGGGCTCATGAAGAGTTGGATATAACTGAAACAAATAAACAACAAATGTGTCAGACCTGTGCTAGGTGTTGGTAGAGACAGATACAATGAGTGAAATGATCCCAACTTTCAAAGAGCTTAGGTTCTAACAGGGAAGACAACCTGACCTATGTTAAGTGTTTTCAGAATAAAGAGAGGAGTCGGGGTAGTGGGGTGGACAGCGACAGCAGCCTTAAAGCCAAGAATATGCACATTCAAGCCCAGCCTCTGCCACATCCTGGAACCTGTTAAGGTGCAGGGCAAATTTCTAAGACTCTAAGGCTCAGAAAAAATGCCAACTTGCATTGGTAGAGGGAATTTTCTGACTAAGAATTCCTTATACCAAGGAAATTTCAGGGGCAGTACGTTTCCCTATCCCCTCTACAGGAAAAACAGAGAATAAACACAAACAAATACAAAGTAGTTAAATACAAGGTATATTGGGAGGGAGGGCACTAGCAGTTGGGGGTTAGAGAGTGGAATCAGGAAAGACTTCATGTTGAAAATGGTAAATGAGGTGGGTCTTGAAGGAAGAGAAGGATCCTGTGAGGCAAAGGTGAAAAGGAACACAATTCAGAAATGAGGGCTGACTGATGCGAAGTCACAGAGATGTATGGCAGAGGGCCACGTGTGAGGAACAAAGTGAAGGCAAGTTCAACTGGATCACGGAATGCGAGAAGAGTCGTCGTTCAGTCGTTTCAGTAGTGTCTGACTCTTCGCGATGGCATTTGAGGTTTTCTTGGCAAAGATATTGGAGTGGTTTGCCATTTCTTTCTCCTGCTCATTTTACAGAGGAGAAACTGAAGCAAACAGGATGAAATGACTTGCCCAGGGTCACACAGCTACTGAGTGTCTGATGCCAGGTTTGGAGCTCAGGAAGATGAATCTTCCTGACTCGAGGCCTGGCACTTCATCCAGGGTTCCACGTGCAGGAAGAGAGTAATGTGTAATAAGTTCAGAAAGATAAGTTGGAGCCAGGTTGTTAAGAGTTTTAAAAGCTAAACAGTAGAGTTTATATTCTTATGATCCTAGAGGCAATAGAACCATTGGAGTTTATTGAGTAGAAGAGTGACATGGTCATATCTGTGCTTAAGGAAAATCACTTTTGTAAGTGTTTTGTACAAAACGCTTTTATGAGCTAGGCAGGCGCTAATCCATCTTATACTGGCTGATCATCTATCTTCAGAACGTGACTTGTTTCTTTAACAATGCTCCCACTGGATGACACTGAAATTAGAGCACCTTCTTTTCTCTCTCTCGTGGGAGCGTGGCTGATCCTCAAAGACCCTAATTGCAATGTGTCTTTCAAGATCTTCTTGGATCTTTGCCCCTCGAGCCGACCAACCACCAAATAGACAACTGGGTTGATGGTACTATTAATACAAGATAATAAATTCAGATATATAAATACTATCGATAGAAATTCATTGTTTTCATCCTGGAAGTCAAATAACATCAACAAGACTCTCAAAGGCATTGCAAAGAGAAAGAACAGAATCACCATGCTTATGATGATGATGTAAAGCTTGGCTGGTTGGCAGTGCTTCAGATTACAGAAGACCTTGATAAAGAGAGTCAAGCTCGAGAAGACCATGAGAGGGGCAAACACAATGAAATTCAAGATAAGCAAAAATACTTCCACCATAGCACGTGGTCTAATGGGGAACCTGGGATGGGTACCCTGAAGACAGAAAAAGCCTTCTAACCAGGTCACAAAAATGGAGAGTGCCCACAGCAAGATGCAAACCACAGCAGACTGGTGCTTTGGGCGTTGGCATTGGTACCAGATGGGATAAAGGACTGAAAGACACCTCTCTATACTGATGGCTGTCAGGAGGTAGAGGCCAGTGTTGTAGCCAAACGGAATCAGCACGCAGAAGACGAAGTCAAATAATTGTAGTTTGGTTGAGTCATTCTTGGAATAAAACATGTGAACTATAGTATTGGTAGAAGTACAAAGTAGGAAAGTTAAGTCAGCCATTGAGAGGTGGAGGATGTAGACAGTAAAAGGGTTCTTCTTGAAGTGGAAGATGAGATACCAGATGACAAGTCCATTGCCAATTGTTCCCAGTATGGAGATAAGCAGAGAAACATAAGTTGAGACATTTTCTGTTGATTGTGATTTCAAGAAGGACCCATTCACCTGGATCTGGGTATCTGATATGGGCTCTGGAGAACTCACAGTAGTTGGAGGGTGCTCCATTATTTAGAAATCATCAATTCTTTTCTTTAAACCTGTCAGCAGAGATGGAAAATAGTGTATATAGATGCTATTCAGTTTTGAAAAAAAAATAGATTCACAAGATTTAAAGTTTGAAGGGACCTTAGAGATTATTTATGAGAGATGTAGTATAGTAGTTAATGTTAGACCTTCAGTCACAAAGAGCTGGATTCAAATTCTTTTTTTAATGGTATTTTGTTTTTTTTAATTACACAGAAAGACAATTTTTAACATTCATTTAAAAATTTTTTTGAGCTCTAAATTTTGTCCATTCCTCCTTTCCCTCTCCCTCCTCAAAACAGTAAGCAATTTGATGTAGGTAGTTACGTATGCAATCATGTAAAACATTTTCATATTTCTCATGTTGTGAAAGAAGAAACAGCCCAAGAGAAAAAAAAAACATAGGAGCAGCCAGGTGGTGCAGTGAATAGAGCACCAGTCCTGGAGTGAGGAGGACCTAAGTTCAAATCTGTTCAGATACTTATTAACTTCATGACCCTGGGGAAGTCACTTAACCTCAATTGCCTTTAAAAAAAAATGAAAAAAAGTAAAGAAAGTAGAAATGGTCTGCTTTGATTTGCATTCAGATTCCATCAATTCTTTCTCTGGATGTGGAGAGCATTTTTATCATGAGTCTTTTGGAATTGTCTTGGATCACTATTTTGGTAAGAAGAGTTAAGACATTCATAGCTGATCATCATATAGTATTGCTGTACTGTGTACAATGTTCTCCTGGTTCTGTTCACTTTACTTTGTATCAGTTCATGTAAGTCTTTCCAGGTTTTTCTGAAACTGGATTAAAATTCTACCTGATGCTTTCAGCTGTATGACCTTGAGCAAGTCACTAACCTCTTTTAGTCTCAGTTTTCTCATCTGTAAAATGGGGGGAAAATAATGCCTGTAGCATTTATATTCATAGGGTAGTTTTGAGGATCAGATGGGATAATGGATATTAAAGTGCTATCACATTAGCCAGATTTTCTGTCTTTTTTTTTTCCCATTTGAGAAAACTGAGGCCTAGAGAAGTTTACTTACTTTTCTAAACACACACTATTGGCAGCTTATTGGCCAAACTAGATCTAAGCCTAAACCTTTATAAGCTAAGGTTTCCACTAGAGCACATGTCAGTTGATCTTTTGATCTGTTTCAGTAACGCAGCTACTGCGATAGCAAGCCACCCTCCTGCATCTCTTCTTTTTATCCCTACCACCACTGTTATTTCTCTCCTCCTTATAAAGGAGAGAAGTGCCTCAGAGAAAATCGAACAGAAGAGCCTTCTCGGCATCATGCCTTTAATACCCAGCCAGTGATTTCTTCACCATTTCAGAGTATACTGTCACTGGATACAGAAATGCGGCAATCTTTCCCCTCTAGGAAAATGTTATTCTCCTTCCCATTTGGTGACTTCCCATCTAGCTGTGGTGACACCTCACTGTGATGTGACAGCAAAGTCACATCTAGATGTAATGACATACATTACTGTTACTCAGGCTTCTTTGAAGGGAGCTAGACTAGGACAGAGACTTGTCCTGGCTCAATCACTGTGTTACCGTTATTTTCCTTTCCGGGTTTCAGTTTCTTTAGCAAGAAAATGAGGGGCTTAGACTAGAGGATCCCTCAGTTCCCCTTCAATGCTGACATTCTATGATTGTACAGCTCAAAATTGGGCTGTTTTTCTTTTTTTTTTTATGCAGTTGGGGTTAAGTGACTTGCCCAGGGTCACACAGCTAGTAAGTGTCAAGTGTTTGGTCTGAGGCTGGATTTGAACTCAGGTCCTCCTGACTTCAGGGCCGGTGCTCTATCCACTGCACCACCTAGCTGCTCCATGGGCTGTTTTGCAAATGGACACTTAGACCTCAACTAGACATGCTTTTCTTCAGTGACTTCTATTTTTATGTGACAATAACTATTTCTGTGTCTCTCTTAGGACAGAAATTCCTATGTGTAGCTCTAGGGAAAAGGGGCTTTAGGTCAGGCTTGTGGAAACCTCAAATGCCATCGCGAAGAGTCAGACACTACTGAAACGACTGAACGACGACTCTTCTTGCATTCCGTGATCCAGTTGAACTTGCCTTCACTTTGTTCCTCACTCGTGGCCCTCTGCCATGCATCTCTGTGACTTTGCATCAGTCAGCCCCCATTTCTGAATTGTGTTCCTTTTCACCTTTGCCTCACAGGATCCCTCTCTTCCTTCAAGACCCACCTCATTTACCATTTTCAACATGAAGTCTTTCCTGATTCTACTCTCTAACCCCCAACTGCTAGTGCCCTCCCTCCCAATATTAGGACAGAAATTCCATGAGGCTGGTGTTTTCAGGATGTCCTTCCTGCCTGTGAGAGGACAAGTGGAGAGGATTTGAGACTGTTAGAACAAAGGATGAAGTTTGGGACTAACCGAGAGCAGCCTTGGGAGGTTAGCACCCCTTCCCTTGTGCTCTTCCTTCCTTGGCTTTTCTCAGTCCTGTCAGTACTTCTCCCCTCATCTCCTTCCTCCCTGCAGGTACCTATCACTTTCCTGATTCTCAGCAGCTGGGGTCTTTCCTGTCAGAAGGAAGCCACCTGACACAGCGAATCCGAAAGTATGATTTGAATGACCCCAGGGATATTTTGTTTTAAAAAGACCCCAAGCCTTTTTGAGTCTGCCCTCATTCTTCCTCATCTCAAGTCAGTTGCCAAAGTCTGTTGAATTCTTTCACACCTGTTCCTTTATTTCCACCCTTCCACCTTCCTAGTTCAGGCCCTCATCTTTCTCCTGGCCTATTAGACTAGCCCTGTTATTGGTTTCTTGTTAACCTATCCTTTACACAGCTGTCATTTTCTACTTCCTAATATGCTTCCATAGTATGTAGGATTTAGAGCTGACAGAGGCCTCAGAGATCATCTGTCTAGTCTAGCACCTTATTTTACCAGTGAGGAAACCTAGGCCCAGAAAAGTTGAGTGAGTTGCTTAAGGACACAGAGTAACTGGAAGAATCAGGACTCAAACACAAGTTTTCAGATCCTAACTCCAATATGTTTTCTACTGTCCCATGTTGCTTTGTATGATTCCTGCTCCAAAACTTTTAGTGTCTCTCTTCTGTTTATAGGATGATTTTCTGATTCGTAGATTAGGAGGCAGCTGGTAGTGCAGTGGACAGAGCTCTGGGCCTGGAGTCAAGAAGACCTAAGCTCAAGTCCAATCTTAGATACCTACTAGCTGTGTGACATTGGGCAAGTCACTTAACTCTCTCTGCCTCCGTTTCCTCAACTATAAAATGGGCATAATAATAGCACTTACCTCATAGAGTTGTTGTGAGGACCGAATGAGATAATATTTGTAAAAAGCACTTAGCATAGTACCTGGCACATAGTAGGAGCTATACAAATGCTTATTCCCCACTGAATCGCTGAATTACAGATTTTTAGAGTTAGAAGAGCCCTCAGTGACCCTCTAGTCCAAACTATACACTAAACTAGGATCCTCATTATATCCTACCTAACAAATGGTTTGAACACTGCTAAGAAGGGAGAACTCATCACCTCTCCAGGCAGTCTGTTCCACTTTCAGACAGATCTACTTGTTTAGCTTTTTTCTGACATCATGTCTAAATTTACCTTTGGGTAATTTCTACTCATTTTTCTTGGTTCTGTTATCTGGCGCCAAACAGAGCAATTCCAATCTCTCCTTCACCTGACAACCCTTCAGATCCTTGAAAAGAATTATCATGTTCCTCTGAAGGTTCTCTTTTTTTTTTTAAGTGAGGCAATCGGGGTTAAGTGACTTGCCCAAGGTCACACAGCTAGTATATGTCAAGTGTTTGGTCTGAGGCCGGATTTGAACTCAGGTCCTCCTGATTTCAGGGCTGGTGCTCTATCCACTGCGCCACCTAGCTGCCCCAGAAGGTTCTCTTCTTTAAGAGAAACATGTCCAGGTTATTCAGCTGATCCTTACATGATGTGGACTCAGTGTCCTTCCTTGTTCTGGTTCACTTCCTCTGGACTTGCTCCAGCTTATCTATGTCCTTTTAAAACTGTGTAAGGCAGGGCTAGCAATCATGATGTCAGAAGAAGCAAAAGCAAAAAGAGACTTAATTAAGAGATAATCAGGTAAACTTCATTTTGCTAAAAGGTGCCATAGACAATGAAGTAATATAAAAATTTTTTACAGCAAGTTTCTCTGATAAAGACCTAATTTCTCAAATTTATAGGGAACTGGGTCACATTTATAAAAATAAGAGCCACACCCCAATTGATAAATGGTCAAAGGATATGAACAGGCAGTTTTCAGAAAAAGAAATCAAAGCTATTCATAGTCATATGAAAAAATACTTTACATCACTATTGATTAGAAAAATGGAAATAAAAACAGCTCTGAGGTACCACCTCACACCTATAAGAAATGACAAACACTGGAGGGGATGATGAAAAAATTGGTACACTAAAGAACTGTTGGTAGAGTTGTGAGCTGGTCCAACCATTCTGGAAAACAATTTGGAACTATGTCCAAAGGGCTATGAAACTGTGCATATCTTTTTACCCAGCAACACTATTACTAGATCTGTGTCCCAAAGAGATCAAAGAAAAAAGAAAAGCACCTATATATACAAAAATGCTTATAGCAGCTCTTTTTGTCATGGCAAAAAACTGGAAATCTAAGGAATGCTCATCAGTTGGGGAATGGCTGAAGAAGTTCTGGCATATGGTTGTGATGGAGTACTCTTATGATATAAGAAATGATGAGGAGGGTAGTTTCAGAAAATTATGGCAAGACCTATATGAATTGATGCAAGTGCAGTGAGGTGAACCGAATCATTGTGTGCAGTAGTAACAGCAATGTTGTAATGATCATCAGCTGTGAAAGACTTGGCTACTTTGATTAATAAAATGATCCAAGAGATTTCCAGAGGACTCATGATGAAAAAATGCTATCCCTCTCCAGAGAGAGAACTGATGACCTGTGAGAGCAAATTGAAGTATAATTTTCTCTCTTTCTTTTTGTTTTTTTAAAATATGGCTAATATAGAAATAAGTTTTACATGGTTTCACATGTGTAATTGATATATTGCTTGCCTTTTCAGTTAAGTGGGAGAGGGGGTAGGAAGGGAGGGAGAGAATTTGGAACTCAAAAAATGTAAAAAGAAAAGAATATTAAAATAAATAAATAATAAAGAATATTAAAATAAATAATAAAAATAAAAATAATATAAAACTGTGGCACACAGAACTGGAAACAGAACTCACTACAGACGGGGCTGAGCAAGGTTTCTTACTTAGGTTGGCCCTATACCATTTGGCTCCAAATGACTTTATCTTAGGGCAATTCTTTGCCAAAACTATGTTATAGAAAAACTGGATTACTCACTGATATTGGATCTTCTTCTCTACTTTCTCTCCTCTGAACAATGATGTAGGTTATTCCCTATGCCTGAGTCAAAGTCCTGTAAGACCTCTGTCAGACCTTGGCCTTCAAGGCCCAACTTGGATGCTACCTCTTCCCTGAAGCCTTCTCTGGTAGCCCCAGTAGAAAATTATTTCTTCCTCTTTGATTTTTTTTAATACCACTTTGTCTAGCTACTTCCTTTGATCTTATCACTTTCTACCTGTCTTGTCATCCCCAATCAGGCTATAATTTCCTTTAGAGCAGAGATTGTCATTTTACGTCTTTTAATTTCTAGTCACTAGTAAGTTTGGTAGGAGAGCTTAAGTATACAAGCAGAAATTCAGTTCACTTGCTATCTTTTTCCCAGCTTTGAATGTCTTTAACTCAAACATAGTAGGTTTGTAATAATAATAATAATAATAACAACAACTCATTTATAGAGCACCTTACAATTTGCACATATTATCTCATTTAATCCTTACAAACTGCCTGACATGGGGTGCTAATATGACTCTGATTTTACAAATGAGAAACTGAGGATCAGAGAAATTGTGTCTTGCTCAGCACCATATACCTAATAAACATCTGAAGTAGTATTTGAACCTGGCCTTCCTGAATCCAAGAGTAGCATCCTATTCCCTTTGCTACAGTGACTCAGTTTCCATATCTGAAAAGTGGGAGTAATAATACTCTCACCTACCTCAGAGTTGTTGTGTGACTTTAAATAACATATGGAGTATTGCATAAATGACAGTATCATTTACAGAGTAGGTGATCAGTCAGTTGATGTGGAATGCTTGTCAAAACTATTTTAAAAATTATTTATTTTAAACATTAAAAAAAATTTTTTTTTGAGTTCCAGATGCTCGCCATTCCTCCAGTCCTTCCCCTACCCATTGAGAAGGCAAGAAATAAAATATTAATTATACATGTAAAATGCAAAGCACATTTCCATATTAGCCATCAAAACCAATATTATTAAGAAATGGTTAATGCTTTTATTCACAACCATTAGTAAATGAAAATGTATTTACATTTCCACATATTTCTGATTGTGCATATATATATAATGCATATACACACACACACATATATATATATACATATATACATGTGCATACATATACAGTTGAACTCCATATGATATCAGGAAGCCCAGCACACATTGAGCTCTGCTATTATAAAACTTGAGGAAAGTAATTTCTCAGTTTTTAAGTGTGTAAAATGTTAAGAGTTTGGACTAGACCATCTTCAAGATCTCTTCCTTCTCTAATTCCCATTATCCTATAAATATTTTAAGGTCATAATACCTTAGGGCAAGGCAGAAAAAGGATTTGGAAAATAAAACACTTTGGTAGTATAAGTAAACACCAGAGCACTATTAATGAATTTTTAATCATTCTTTTATGCTATAAACCTTGCAACCTTCCATTAATAGCTATAAATACCCATTGTCACTGGCCAATCAATCAGTCAGTTCATTTAGTACCTACTATGTGCCAAGCATTATCAATCCAATAAGAATCTAATAGTAACAAATTTTCTTATGGTCTTAAAAACATTTACATTAGAATCAATACACTAATGTTTATCTGTTGGTTACTTGAGATAAAACCTCCTTACCCTAAATGTATAATTCTAAAATACTAAGTCTTCATGAAAAATGACATTTTCTCGAAAAGGTTGCTCATGTCCCCCAAAATAACCAGACCTAGAGTGTGAACTGAGTAAGAGAAGTTTGCAAAGAAGCAGCATTTCTATTAGAAAACTGAAAGATGAGAAATTAAATTAATACACAGACATATCAGGTACGTACCTACAGTTTTATCAATGGAGCCCCAAAGCAGATCCCAACCCTTCTCTAGACTACTAAATTAAACTTAAAGAGTTATCTGAGACTTAGAGAGTTGAAAAAGTGAAATTACAAGAGAAGAGAAATATCGGATATTGTAAGAATGGTTTACAAGCACAAATAAGTCCAAGGCTGTCTAGTTATTTTATTGAGCCCAGCACACAAGAGGCTAAGACGACCATTGAGAGTAGGACCTGCTGTCCCATGGAGGAGGAGTGAGAGACCTGCTTCAGGCACCAAAGATCCAGGCTCTTGTCTCAGTTCTGCTGTGGACTCTTTGAATTGACTATATTGGGTCAAATCACTCACTTCCCTAAGCCCTAGTTTCCTCTTTTGTAAACTGAGTTTACTCTGATCCCTAACAGCTCTGAAGTAGTAATGAATAGAGAGCATAAACTTACCGTAAAGAATCCTGGTCAGATTTCTTTTTCCCAGTACTGTCAGCCAGACAGGTTGGTTTTCACTCCATAGACAGCTTCTTGGGGGAGCAGCCAGCATGACTTGGTAATTAACCATTTCAGGAAGTTGGTTTGGGGTCTGACTGAACAATGTGACCATCTCTTGCTGATAAACAGAGACCAGCACTGACCTGCAATCGCCCCCAGATTGTACCTGATGGAATTAGAGGGGACAACAAGAGGTTGGACTGGAGGGACCAAGGAGGGTGCTTGAAAACTCTTAGGGTTAATATCAATCTGGCAACATTCGGCTCTCAGAAGCTTATCTTAGCTTGCATCTGTGCCCAGTGAGATTTGAAATCTTTTTTGCAGATGAAATTGTAACTGTTTGTGCTATTATGGACATTGGAGGTCCTTGGCTTGGATGTGGAGTAGCACAGGATGGAAGCCAGTTCTTTGTCAGTAGAGGCTAAGAGAACAAGTGTTTATTAAGTGCTTTCTCTATGCCAGGTGCAGTGCTAAGCACTAATTTAGTCTCAAGTCTAAAGGATCATAGATAGAAGAGAACTTAGAGATCATAGAGTCCAACTACTAAATTTTTTGGATGAAGAGCTTGAGGTTCGTAGAGGTTGGGGCTTACCCCTGATAACACAGCTAGTTAGTAGCAGAAGTAGTAATTTTTTTTTTAGACAGTTGGGGTTAAGTGACTTGCCCAGGGTCACCCCGCTGGCAAGTGTCTGAGGTCAGATTTGAACTCAGGTCTTCCTGACTCTAGGATTGTGCTCTATCTGCTGCCTCTGAGAGGCAGTAATCTTAAACCCACATCTCCTGATACCTATAATAATAATTGTTCACATTTATATATATTTCAAAGCTGGCAAAGCATAGTTACTGCATATCTTATTGTCCCCATTTAACAGATGAAGAAACTGAGGTTCAGAATAGTTAAGCACCTTGGATAAGGTCACATAGGTAGGAAGAATCAGAAAAGTCAAGGGGGGTAGGTAGTGCTGGGCCTGGATCTGGAAGACCTAAGTTCAAAATCAACTTAGAAACTAGGTGTGTGAACAAGTTAACCTCTGTTTGTTTTAGTTTCTTCAACTGTAAAATAGGGATAATAATAGCATTTACCTCTCTGAGTTGTGAGAATCAAACAAAATGATATTTGTAAAGTGCTTATCACAATGCCTGGCACATAATAGACACCATAAATGCTAGTGATGATGATGGATTTGAACCCAGGCCTTCCCAATTCCAAGTCTAGTGTACTTTCCATCATAGAAGTTTTGACTCTTCCATAAATTACCTGTCTGTCTTTACAGTGGGGTTGCTATCTTTCCTTTCCTGTCTGTGGCCCTGTTTCATGGCAAAGAACTTATCTCTTGACCAAGATCCAGGTTTATGTGGTACAGTGCCAAGTTTTGTTATATTTTTGGAAGCTAAAAAGAGGGTGGGAACCTGAGGAGCTATGTACTAGCTATGTGGTGTTGGCCAAGACAGTTAATTTCTTGGTCTGTTTTCTTATCTATAGAATTTAGGGGTTGAATTAAAAGATTCCATAGAACATATGTAGTTATACACATATTTAATACATGTGTATGTACATATTATTGTTGTTGCATTGTTGTTCGGTCATTCAGTCTTATCAAGCTCGTCATGACCCCATGGACCACAGCATGTCAGACTCTTCTATTTTTCACTGTCTCCTGAAGTCTGTCTAAGCCTATGTTTCTTGCTTCTTTGACACCATCCATCCATCTGTTGTCCCCTTCTCCTTTTGCTTTCAATCTTTCCCAACATCAGGGTCTTTTCCAATGAGTCCTGTCTTCTTATTATGTGGCCAGTGTGTTTAAGCTTCAGCTTTGGCATTTGTCCTTCCAAAGAATAATTTGAATTAATTTCTTTAAGTATTGACTTATTTGATCTCCTTACTATCTAAGAGACTCTCAAAATTCTTCTCCAGCACCACAATTTGAAAGCGTTGGTTCAGCAGTGCTCAGCTTTCCTTATAGTCCAACTCTCACAGCCATATATTGCTAATGGAAAAACTGTGGCTTTGACCATAAGGAACTTTGTTGGCAAGGTGATGTCTCTCTGCTTTTTAATATGCTGTCCTGATTTCCCATAGCTTTGCTTCCAAGGAGCAAGTATCTTTTAATTTCATGGATGCAGTTACCACCTCCAGTGATCTTTGAGCCCAAGAATATAAAATCTGACCATACTTCGATTTCTTCTCCCTCTATTTGCCAGGAATTGATGGGATCAGTTTTCAAGATCTTAGTCTTAAATTTGTAAGTTTCAAGCCAGCTTTTATACTCTCCTCTTTCACCTTCATCAAGAGGCTTCTTAGTTCTTCTTTACTTTCTGCCATCAGAGTGGTATTGTCTGCATATCTGAGATGGTTGATATTTCTCCCAGCAACCTTAATTCTGGCTTTTGATTTATTTAGCCTAGCATTTCACATGATGTACTCGGCACATAAGTTAAATAAATATGGTGACAATATACAGCCTTGTCATAGTCCTTTTCCAATCTTAAACCAATCAATTGTTCCATATTTAGTTCTAACTTGCTTCTCATACAGATTCCTCAGGAGACAAGTAAGATGATCTGGTGGTACTCCTTATCTCTTTGAGGATTTGCCACATTTTGTTATGATCTGCACAATCAGAGGCTTTAGTGTAGTCAGTGAAACAGAAGATGTTTTTCTGGAATCCTTTGCTTTTCCATAATTCAGGAATTAGGATGTAAACTGGTCTTTTCTGATCCAGTGACCACTGTTGTGTTTTCCAAATTTGCTGGAATATTAAGTGCAGCACTTTAACAGCATCATCTTTTAGGATTTTAAATGGCTCAGCTGGAATTCTGTCACCTCTACTAGCCTTATTGTTAGCAATGCTTCCTCAGGCCCACTGGACTTCGTCCTCCAGGAAGAATGGGTATAATCTCAAAAATGACAAAATGATATCTGTTCAAATCCAAAGCAAACTGTTCATTATCACAGTAATACAAGTCTATACTCCAATCACTGATGCCAAAGATGCCAAGGTTGCTTAATTCTATGAAGACCTACAACATCTAGAAATAATGCCCCCAAAATATGTCACATTCATCATAGGGAATTGGAATGCTAAAGTTGAAAATCAAAAGAGAACTGGAATGACAGGCTAGTTTGGCCTTAAAGTACAAAATGTAGCAGGGCAGAGACTAATAGAGTTTTGTCAAGATAACTCCTTGGTCATAGCAAACACTTGTTTTCAACAACAAAGGTAACTAACTCTACATATGGACATCACCAGATGGTCAATATCGAAATCAGATTGATTTTGTACTTTGCAACCAAAGGTAGAAAAGCTCTACAGTCAGCTAAAACAAGGCCTAGAGCTGACTATGACCACGAGCTTCTTATTGCAAATTTCAGACTTAAATTGAAGAAAATAGGAAAACTATCACACTGTAAAGGTATGACCTAAATAACATCCTTTATGAATATGAAGTGGAGATGATGAATAGATTTAAGGGATTAGATCTGGTAGATAGACTGCCTGAAGAACTGTGGACAGAGGTTTACAATATTGTACAGAAGGCGACAATAAAAAACATTCCAAAGAAAAAGAGCAAGAAAGCAAAGTGGCTGTCTGATGAGGTTTTACAAGCAGTTGGGGAAAAAAGGGTGTCTCTTTCTCTTTCTCCTTTCCCTTTTGCTTATTGCTTATTGATTACAAGGGCAACTCCATTTCTTCTAAGGGATTCTTGCCCAACAGAGTATATTCACCCATTCTCATCCATTTAAGCTCACCGACACTGAAGATGTCAATGTTTAAACTTTCCATCTATTGTTTGACTATATCCAGCTTACTCTGGTTCATAGACCTTACATTCTAGGTTCTTATACAATATTGATCTTTGCAGCACTAGACTTTCCTTTCTTCACCAAATACATTCACAACTGAGCTTCCTTTCAGCTTTGGCCCAGTTGCTTTATTCTTTCTGGAGCTACATATATGTGTTTATGTATACACACACACACATATAGCACTCTTCCATGTGGTGAGCAAAGAAAGAAATGGTTTAGGACTCAGCTGAGAAGAGTTATCTTTATTTTCTGAATGTGGGCTTGAAGTTTCTTTCTTTCTTTTTTTTAAATTTAATTTTGTTTATTTATTTTTGCAGATCCAAGCATTTATCTTTTTCTTTTCTTTTGTTTTATTTTTATTTTTTAAAATTTATTTAAATATTTATTTTTAGTTTTCAACTTTCACAAGATTTTGAGTTCCAAATTTTCTCCCCATCTTGCCTATCCCTCCACCCCAAGACGGCGTGCATTCTGAATACCCTTTCTCCTAATATGCCCTCCCTTGTATCATCCCCCCCTCTCTTATCTCCTTCCCCTTCTATTTTCCTATAGGGCAGGATAGGTTTCTATACCCCATTGCCCATGTATCTGATTTCCCAGTTGCATGTAAAAACAATTTTTAACATTTGTTTTTGAAACTTTGGGTTCCAAAATCTCTCCCTTCTTCTCTCCCCACCCACCTTCATTGAGAAGGCAAGCAACTCGATACAGTAGTCATGCAGAGCACTTCCATAGTAGTCATGTTGTGAAAAACTAACTATATTTCCCTTCATCCTACCCCACCCCGTGTTTATTCTACTCTCTTTTGATCCTGTCCCTCCTTAGAAGTGTTTGTTTCTGATTACCCCCTCCTCCAATCTGCCCTCTCTTCTAACATTCCCCCCCCATCCCCTTCTCCTCTGTTTTCCTGTAGGGTAAGATAGATTTCCATACCCAATTGAGTATGTATGTTATTCCCTCCTTAGAGCTTGAAGTTTCTTAAGGCAGGCAGAAGTGGTGAAAGGAAGGTAGATATTGTGAATCTGGTTTATCCAGAAATAGTGAACATCTCTAGTGTGTCAACAATGAATGGGACCAACTCAAGTCTGTTCAAAGTATTGTAGAATACTGTAAGTAGTAAGCTGGAGTTCAAAACCTTCCATGCTGTCCTGTTTGGAGCACAAATAAGAATGTAGGGGGTGGTGTGCTATGTTTCCCCCTCATACGTTATGAATATTCACCTGATGTCTAGATCTGGCTTGAAGGAGGCATCAATAGATATATCTTCAGTCTCTTCCATCCACCCTTCTTCAAGGAAGATTGATTCTTGCCAGAGGGGAAGTAAGAGGTTGATAGCAGAGGCAGAACATCCTGCTTCC